GGGGAAACGGGCGCCGCTTCCTGAGCAGGTGACGAAGCAGTCAGGCAACTCGTTACTCAATCTCAGCCTGGGCAGCGACGAGACCGATTTGTCAGGGAAAAGGTTTAAAATAAATAAATAAAGGTGTAAACTTTATCTCTGTCTTTTTGGTATGCACTGTCAGCTCAGTGTTGCAGGAGGCAGATAAGCTGATTTCTCAAACAGTGTTAAATGCTTCAACAGGCTGAAGGATTACATCTACACCTCACTCAACATGACCTTCACTTCCCCTCCTCAGATACACACACACACACCCGCCGCCTCACCCTCACGTCCCCCAGTCTGCATGTCTGTGTGTCTTTGTCTTTGTCGGATGGTTTGTGAGTTTCTGTAGCACTCAGTATCTCAGACAGTCAGCCGGGCTGCATGCCAAGAAACACAAAAAAATTTATTTCGGAACATCTTTCCTTACAATACAGCAGCCCTCTGTTTCCCTTCAAGACTTATGACTGTACTGAAGACAATACAGTAGAAGGGAAAACACCCTCACCTATCCTGTCAGCGAGCCGTTTTAAAGATAATGAATCAATCTCAGTGAAGGAATAGGATGTGTGAGCGCCATATGAAACACAATTTCTATTAATCTGTGTATCAGAACTGATATTTTGAGCCCTATCCTTCTCATGCTTCATTAACAAAACCATTTTACAACTTCATTTTCTACCCAGCACATAGTATATCGCAATCTTTTCATCATCCCTTAGAAACACAGACACCTTATTTGATTATGGAAAAACTGCCGAGCATGAAGGCAATAGATTTTTTTTTCAAAGCGAGACACCTCTCTCTCTCTCTTTCTCTCGCTCTCTTTTTCTATTGCTACTTCCTACATAAGCGTATCTATTTATAACTGAGGGCTCTGGCCTCAATGAAACCAGAGAGCTTCTCAAATTATAAAATCAATTCTAATTCAAATATTCATCATAGCATTTCAATTCTGAGAGCGCCGTCTTGGTCAGATCGGTTAATGTCACTCTGTGGATGAGTAAGATTGATGTGGGCTTAACCCTCCCATAAAAATAAAAAAAAGCATGTTGTACAGTAAGTTGTACAGTCTCAGAAAAAAATAAGAAAACAGCAAGAGATGTGTATGTGTGTGTATGTGTGTGTTACAGAGTAATGATAGACCCTGATCCCCGGGAAGCCAGCTGATTAGACTAGGAAAAAAAACCTCGACATATCTTAATATTGTGATTGTCAGCACCAATTACAACTGCTATCCATCATGGTTTGAGTTGAAACTTTTCTGTGGACGACCACTGTAGCAGACTATTAGACTTTGTATAAAAACTGCTGTGAAGTCAAGAAAACACTTTCTTTGAATACACCCCCAAAATGATTGGTTTTAGCGTAAAACAGGCTCAAAGTGTAATCTAAGACTTAAAAAAAAAGGCCAAATGAACTGATTGGATGTTTTTTTTCATCAGTCTCCACAGTGGAAGCTTGCATCCTCTCTCAGCGCCTGTACCCCCCAGAGGACTCATGAAAATGCCACACCATAATGGCCTGAGTGAGAGAACGGCGCATGGACATGGGTGCTTGTACCCTCCTCAGTGTGCGAGCTGATCCGTCTGACAGGAAACCTTCCAGAGAACTCTCAGCCATAGCTATCTCTTGCCTGAATGACTCCTCTAGATCCACGCCGAGGGTGGTGCTTGGAGGAGGAAGGGGGGTGGAGGGGGTGGTGGGGGTTGGAGGGGCTCTTACCCCCCCGTCTGCTACCCCTTTGGGACCGCTGCATTATTCAGGAGACACTTACTGAGCCTTGCACTTCCTTGTACATCTTTGGCACCAAGCTCCACTTGCCAACCAGTCAAAAAGAAAAAAAAAGAGACACAGAAAACTGGAAGCCAGCTTTTAAAAATTCATTCGGAGCTCTGTGTCGCTCATCCCTTACCCTCTTGTTCCAATTAACGGCACCCGGATACTTTGAGAACTTTTCTATCTATCATAGCTGGGATTTTCATGTGTCAGCTGTTCCACGGCAGAAGTGAGCCAACTCTCTGACATGCTACTTAAAGCCACCAATGTTCAACACAAGCATGGAGAATTCAATGCTGGATTTTCCCCCCTCTTGCTGTGCTTCAATTACTGTCTTTTTTTGCTTGGCAATATGACACACACACACACACACTCACTCACATAAACACAAAAGCACATACAAGGGGAACCAAGCAGAAGATAGCATCAATGTTTAACAGCCGCTTGGCTTCTGGAGAGAGCGAGTCTCACTCTCTGTGAGGGTTCAGCATGGGAGTCGCACTCATTGTTAAAAGCTTAAAGAAAGCCTTTGCTGCGCTCTAGAAAAAAACACTATGCCTCTCCCTTAACACTTCCACATACACTATAAGCAATGCTGGTAAGCTTTCCCCATAATCAGAGAATTAGATCCGCCTCAGCGTCTACCCTCCCCTTTCGCCCCTACGGTGCAGAAGGCGTCAGGCTTAATTGCCAAACGTTTCCAGTGCAAAAGAGGGAAACATAATTGTCATTTCCATCTAAGCCACAGTGATCAAAGCTCCCTAGGCTACCAGCACAGTAATAGGGATTTTTGCCTACAGCTTGTCCTACTCGAAGCCGTCTCCCAGCAAGATTCAGGGTGTAGTAAAGAATTTCCTCGCTGCACAGACAATTCATCTCCCTACCAGCTTACTCACAGTGTTTGAAGAGGCTCTTTGTCTAGCAGGGTTTTCATGTTCAGATTTAAGCAGGAGTGTGCAGCACAGCCCGAGAACCAGAGATAACAAAATCTACGGTTGACATATTTCTGCCATAAATAGCACACAATGAACTGTCTTTTTTTTTTTTAGATATATTTCTTTATTTATTTTTTTGGGGGGTGGGGTGGAATGTGGCTAAAAATAAGTTTGTAACCTGCAATTAGAGGCACAATTAGGTACCTCTTCACTCATCCTGTGTGACTGCGAGCATGGTGAATCATCATGTTACAGTGCAGCACCGTGGCAAATCATTCTGACATACTGCTGCAGTCTCTCTCTCTGTAGCCTTCAAACAGCCAAAGCTGAGAACTGCTGCCCCTTTGAGAGGGCATCGTCTCACACTGCATGTGCTGTGAACCCGAAATGTGACAAAGACGAACACATACCCAGGGTGAGGATGTCTGTACGACCGGGTCGGGCCACGTGGTGCTGCTGGATGGTCTGGTAGAGTGTGGCCTGGCACAGCAGCAGGAAGCCCAGGCTAATCCACATGGCCAACAACCAGGACATGGTGAGGCCGAGTCTGGAGGGCGGCACACAGCGGGGGTGAACAACAGGGAAACAGGGACAGAGGTGAGTTACAGTATGTCTCAGTACAAATTTCCAAATACACATTGTCCTGATGAGCCACAGGAAAGAAGCGCAGTTATTTTGCTTTTGTTATGCTTACATTACCTTGAAATATTAGTCCCAATATTCTACTGAAATGATTTAAAAAGCGGTATGTGCGTGAGCATTTTCTTATAATGAATCAAACTGAATCATCCCCCTTTATATGTACGACTCAAACAAAAAACAGAGGACAGAGTTCAGCTCAGCAATATCTGGCTGATCAACAGATACACACAAATGCAAAAGAAAAGAAAGAAAGGCCTTGAAGTCTTTTTCAGGCTGTTATAATTTCATATAAAGCAGTTTGACCCCTTTTGATGAAACGCTACAGCACCCGCATTGAAGGCTGGATTATTAAAAAGTTAAGAAAAGCTTGAATTTGTATCTCAAATGGTTGTGTTAGAGTTTGGCTCAGTGACTGCCTAATAGCTGCTGAGGGCCAGCATATGGAGACACGCCTTAGTCCTTATTGAATAATGAGGCTCTCCTCCTTTCCAGGTGTTATTGGTGCTTCTTTCCGCTCAGAGCCTGCAGTGGGACATTTAACAGCATCACACCATCTCCTCCAAACTTCACTGTGGCAGAGTTAAATAACACAACAACACCCATCATTTTTTAATAAGAATATCTGAAATAAATCAGTCACTCGCTCTATCCAGGCACTGGATGTGTGCTTTACATTTGTCATTTTTCACAGAAGTTACTCTGTAAGCGAATGTGGTGAAGCTGTGTGCTTCCTTTATGTTTGATTCCACCATATCTCAATACACAAGGGTATATAAAGCAGACAATGAGCCCCTGGGAGTCTCTTCAACATCAACTTCAAACCCTGAAGATAAAACATCTAAGCAAAGGGGGTCTGTATGGCTGTCAGTGTTTCAAACATGTGACAAAAGTGTCCTAAAAGCAGGTCTGGTGTTGAGACTTGACACCAAAGCCACCACTTCTGAAATCACTGAAGTGTTTAGATCTGTATGTAAGTTTAAACATGTATGTTTTGAGCCCCGTGTGACATTGACACTGCTTAATATTTAGGCAAAAGTCAGCATATAATTACGCACAGCATATTGTAAATCCCCTCCACAGAGCTAAATCCAGACTAATCCGTGGTTTGGTCGAAATGTGAACTGGTCCCATGGGGATGTTTCCCCCCCTGTTTCAGTGGCTCTGTTCGCTGAGCTGACTGCATATTCACAGGGATCGTTGCGCTCGCGTGGTTAACTTCATATTGCAAAGAGACTGTGAGCTGCTCCCGGTTATCGGGAGGCATTCTAGCCGAAAATCAAATGTGGTTCTTACCAGCAGCGTTTTACCAGAGGAGAGGGCGCCGAGCAGACATTAAATAAAGCGAACAAGCATGGGCATCATTTCAGGGAAAGTTCAGAGGGGGGAAAAAAGCTTTCAGGGGAACGGAAGTAAACTCTTGTAGTCGCTGTTTTAGCCCATTTTCTCAGCGCGAGACAGCTTGTTGAGGGAGAAAAATCCGTGTTGTTTTCCCGGCGACACAGAAAAATACACCGCGGGCAGATTTTCACAGATTTCCTCTGTCGCGTACAATGAGATACGACAGCTCCTCTATGCGTAATTGGAAAGTCCAGCGTGAGGGAGTAAATGCGGTAGAGGAGTGAAAACAGCAGACACACCTGCAGGCGCATAAATTAGCGCCGCACCTGCGCGCAATGTGGTTTCGGAAATTAGCTTGGTTATGCTTCTCACAGTGTGCACTCCCTCTTTAAAGAGAACTTTGGTAAAGACTTGTGGACACAGAAGCTGACTGACAGACAAATAAAGTAAACTACACAGTTTGGAGGGTGACTGAGGCGTCTGAATGCACTTAAAAGAAGGTAAGCTTTGTAACTTTGCACTTAGTGTCTGTGTGTTCCTGTAGCTCTCCTTGTTTACAACATGAATGTGCCGTATTTGCCCATTTTAATATGTTTAAAACTTCATATTAAACTCCAGCCATTACGATTTTTTTTCCTGTGGCATAAAGGAATATAAAAATGTAACTGGCAAACGCAATTTGAAGTTTTCCCTGCTTTTGTGAAGAATAAGAAATGCCATCCCATCTTAAGCCTTTCATTTGCTCATATTCTACATGTGGTGTTATCTGGGTGATGTCCCTTAAGCACAGAGTTACCCAAGTAAATAAAGCCCACCCCACCCCACCCACCCAATATATCCCCCAAAACAGCAGAGGTATTCCTTTAAAGTCCCACACCCTTACCTGAGCAGTGTGTTCAAGAGGAAAGGAGCTCAGTAAGAATCACTGCAGACTCACTCCTCTGTCTTAAATCCATCCATACTTTGAAGCAAGGGATTCCCGCCTGAAATTCCAGTCCAAGATAAAGAGCTCAAAAAGAGGAGCTAAAACGCTCTTTTCTTTCCCTCAGTGTCCTCTGTTTCCGTCTCCTCTGGACCCCCGCTGCTCAGTTCCCAATGCACAAACAGTCAGAAAAGGCAAAACAGCCTGGGGTCTAAGTCACAAACTGGCCAGGACATGAGGGTTGGGAGGCTGATCATGTCAGTGCTGTATCAGCCACATGCGATCACAGATCTCTTGTCTTCTCCTTTTCCTTCTTGCCCGTGTCTCTGCTCCGTCAGTAGACCTCCTCTGTTGTGATGACAGGGAGCTAATTTAGCCCCCCTCACTTGTCGTCTCCTTCTCACGCGTGCGGCGGAAGGCTCCAGTGGAATGACTGCTCTGTCTGCTCTTGGCTGCGTCCCCCCATTGAGAAGCTGTGCTGATAGTGTGAGCCTCAGTCCTCTCTCCAGCGCACTAAGTAGAGTCTGTGTGAGAGAGCCTGAGCGAGTGTGTGAGAGAGCGTGCTTGTGTGTGCGTGTGTGTGAGTGAGAGTGTGTGTATTACAATGAAGCCCAGCTGGAAAGAGAGAGAGAGAGAGAGGGAACTGGGAGAGAGTCAGATCACATGTCTTAAAGCAAAGCCTGCCCACTTCTGCATCAAGACTTCATCAGTAGATTAGGCATGCTTTATTAACCCAGCCCTCTATATATCCCGGGCTCTTATCCACATGTGAGTGCAGTGTTCAGCTCTCTCTGAATGTGTCTGAGCGTACACATGTGTGTGTGTGTGTGTGTGTGTGTACTGGTGTACACTGAATGTGCCTGTTTTAGTCATCGCCCTGCAGAGTTTGAGGGGTGGGAGAGAAGTATGCTCCCAGAGCTGCACTTTTAATAGAAGGCAGAGTGTCTCATCAGAGATCTGCAATCACCATATTACCCGCCACGAGCCAGCTGTGCTTTTCCTACCTGTTTTGTTAGGGTTTGTTTGTACCGCCTGCACTCTTTTTTTTTGGAGCTTTCCCACCAATGAAGCCTGCAGCAGATTCAGTTTTGGAGACGGTGACAGAGCCCATGAGCCTCTCTCTGCCACCTTCTCCAAAACTGAATCTGCTGGCGTCAAAAGAAATCACATCCATTGTCTTTTGTATGTGTTTGTGTAGGTGTATTCTGCATGTGCGTGTCCTTGCTGTGACTGAGCCATGCAGGCAGGTGAGAGCAGAGTACGTTTCCCTCCCATATGGAGGAGCTCCTCTTTAACTCATTATATTGTTAACCAGAGATTTACAGTATATGCCAATCCTACGCACCTGCCATGGCTGACTCACTCACAGTCTGACATTTTATGGGAAATAACCCCTATGCTGCTCACAACAACGCACAGCTGAGGGGCTGTATAAGCTGGCAGACAGAGAGGGTGGTGGTGTTGGTGCTGTGGGGGAGGACAGACAGATGAATTTGATGATGAATATCCGGATAAATTCTGTGTCAGAGCTTGAGCTGCACCCTGTTTTCTTTGCATGTTATCATTTGTGTGGATACAGTGCAAGCCATGGTGCAAAACGATCAGCCGTGTTATTGGTTGTCGTCTTGTGGGTGGAATTTCCGAAAATGGGTAACAAGCCCTTTAATTGCCAGTTACTGTGCCATGCCACAGGGCAGCCTGGACTATCTCTGCTATCACCTCTGCATGTTCCGTATACACCATTGTAAGATCTGAAAGCCAGATGTGCACAGCCCAGCAGAGTCACAGCAAGAAGGGAGGGAGCAAATATAGAAAAACTGTGTAACAAAAACTGAGGAATAGATCTGGTTGGGTGGGTTGAGGATTGGGGTATTACTCGCTCTGCTGGATTACTCTAAGCGTGATGTGAGTACCGGGTGGATAAGGTAGTAGCTGTTCGCGGAGACCTCCTCCTATGGCTGAAAATAAGAATGCTGTGGTAGTTTTTCCAGCATGTGTTAGTGTGTGTGTTTTTTGTCTTTGGACTGTGTCCTTTGTATCCTCTGAGCACACAGCTCTACAATAATCTAATGGGAATGCAGTTATGAACGGTGGAGCTGCCATCTGGATCTCTGTTGGGTAAAGCACACCACATGTTAGGTGACCAGACACACATTAAGCAGGAAGTGTAGAGTAATTACTACATTGATTAGTGTTCCTACACTGTCAGGCGTTATTTGCACAAAACAGCATGATTACCAATAAACAGGCTTATTTGTATGTGTTGATATATCCTTTTGTGTGGAGCTCTAATAGCACGCACGCTTGAATTTCATTTTGTCGTCGCTGCTTAATGTTTTTATGATCAGTCTCGTTGGACTGAGATGAAGCCGTGAAATGAAACAGGCCCACAAACAAGCCTCAGAGGACAATTTAAGATTGAGGCATCCAATTACTACATGTTCCTTTCAGCAATGAGCAGTACCACCAAAAGTCCCCCATTTGTATCTTAATTTGTTTCTTTTGTTGATTTGTTGTGCTCTCCCATTTTTTCACTCTGCGTCAGTGTGAGCTGTGTTGGGGGAATAGACTGGGACAACAGAATTTCACAGTAATTCTGAATTGTTGTCGTGGTCCCGCTCTTTCCTGTCTCCACTCTCAGGGGCTTCCATCATTTCCAAACAGCTGTCGCTGCAGCCCGTGCCAAGACCTAACCACAACCGACAATCACCGGCCAACTCTGTGTTTGGATCTGGGCAGCCCTGTGAAACAGCAGTGTTTGCCAACGTTGCTCTCTCTCTCTCCCTGTTTCCTTCTCATTCTGTCGTTTTCTTTCTTTCTGTTTTTCCCTCTGGCTAATAAAAATCTTCCTTCCAGTGCAGCCAACAAGCTTCAGTATGCATCTGCAAGCAGTACCAAAATACCCTTTTAACACCACCCAAATCCTCCCATACGCAGCATCTTCTGTTTTCCTTTAAAAATAGAGCCTCTGTCCACTACTATTATTACTACATACTTTCAACAAATCTCACTGGAGCACACAGAGCATTTCTTTATCTGATGAAGGATTTGTTGTGTTCGTGAACCTACTCTCTATAGACTCCTGCTACACAAAACATCCAACTGCAGATAAGTGTAGAGTGACAGAGGGAAACAGGGATGGAAATTGAGAGAGAAAATAGCAAAAAAAGAAGTAAAGATTAATGCAGGAAGCGTAAATTCATTTGGAAGAGGTATGCAGCGGCAGTGCTTGGTCAGTGGAGTATGGTGAAGGGAAGAAAATGATTTATGAAATGAAGGATGATGCAAAGAAATAATTTATTTCACATTTATCAGTGCGTCCTTTTTTTGGCTTTTGCTCCTCTGTTCAGTGCCGCAGAAACCTAGCTGTGAGGATATTGTGCATTTGTGGAATTTTCAATGTAAAGGCTAAGGTTGAAGGATGGACAGTTTCACTGCATATAACCTCTCTCAGGAGTTACCTTCATCTTATCAATCCTGTCAGCAGAGAGAGCCAGCGAGAATAAATGCAATACATGTCCGTTCATATAGAAGAATGAGTTGAAATAGAGTATCACGTAAGTATCACGAGTATCAAGTAAGTAGATTTTTCTTTCAAAATTATAATATCCTAAATCTTTTTTTGTCTGTGTTTGTTAAAATGTGGTGCGGTATAAAGTTACATGATTGAAAAAAGAGCAAAGGAGTAGCTAAATCAGTCAACCAGTCAGTCACCCATTAAACCAATCATTAATTGAACCAATTAATCAACAAAGTACTAGTTTACCAATCAACAAACAAACCAAATAATCAACCTGTTGAGAAACAAACCAATCAATCAATGAAGCAGTCGCTGACTTAGTCAATCAACCAATCAGTGTTGCACTTGTTCAACTTTTAAATCAACAATGACCCGATTTACAATTCAACAAATCAATCAAACCAGCAAGCAGGCAAGCAACAAATTAGCAACCGAGCTACTGTTCATCCAGGAAGAGTCCAGGAAGAATGGATCGTAGGAGGACAAAGGAACAGCCATTTATAACTCCAACAGTTCCAGGCGTAAACATGTCTTCAGGAGTCATCTGCAACATCCTGTATGTTGTCTTTACATCCCAGCCTCAGCTGTGTTTTGCCTCTGACTTGTGTCATGACCTGCTCGCTTGCAATAGATCTTTCAAATTGTTTTCCTGCCCTGGCAAACACTGCAGACAGCGAATCAAAGTCAGAACCAGTTTTACTTTGTCTGCAGCATGGCTTATACATGACGTGTAACTGTGAGAGTGAACTGGAGCTGTCTGCTCATGCCACATACTTCTGCCTGTCACTTATAAGTGCTCAAGTCTGGTATAGTTGGGTCTTCTGCTTAGATAAAAACATATAGATACAGGACATTTCATAGGCCGCTGGTCTGATTAGTAGATATACAATTAGGGATGTAACAATATGAAAATTAAACATCACGATTTTTGTGAGCAGAATTGTCACGGTTATCAATATTATCACGGTATTGTTGAAATATGTTCAAAATGTTTAAAAAGTACTTGTACACGCCCTAAAATCATTTAACAAAGTTTTATAAAAAAAAAAAAAAAACAATCAAAAAAACACACAGAATGAACTTTTCTTAACCTGAAATAACAGAGAAACGATAAGCTTAAAAAATTAAAGATGGGGCCTTAAAAGAGCCAGAGGTAATCAACACCGGTGCTAGTAATAACAAAGTACAAAGTAATGTGCCAGTGGCATAAACATTAACATAATAACAAATAAATAAAATTTAAATAAAATGGCATTCCTTATTGTGCAATTTGTAAGAATCTTCAGTGCTCAAAAAGATCTACTCTTACAAATATAAAACCGAGCAACACTACTATATGAAACAAAACAACCACATGTAAACAAATGTGAAGTGCAGGCGTTTAAAATAACATAGAATATGAAAACAAATCAAATAATTCACTCTGATTGTCTGTTTTCTCCACCATAAGGTGCTTCTGCTGACTTTGTTCACTACTGGAGATTGAAATGTAAAAATGTCAGCATATTTAATTTCCTGGTTTGAGTAGTGATCTACAAGAGAAAACGATGTGCCCGCTGGCACTGAATATCCTCTCGGATGGCACACTGGTTGATGGGATGCACAAAAGCTTCCTGGCAACCCTTTGTAGAAGCTGAAATACGCCCAGACTTGGGACTTTGTTTTCTTTAACAGCGGAAAAATTTCTGCCTTCCGCCATGTTTACAAGTTGTATACTGCGCAGTGCACATGCGCGCGGCGCGCCTGTGTCTGAAAGACTGCTGTGTGTGGCTGCTCTTCTCAGCAATGAACAGTCTGTGAGCTTTTCCAGGGTGCGGTAATCAAACACGGTTTTAACGGTAATTAAAATTTGAAACGGTAGTACTAACCGTCAGACATTTTACCGCAGTTTATTATTTTACCAATAATCGTTACATCCCTATTTACAATATAAATGATCTACTCAATATCATGGATAAAAATATATAACTATAAAACTCAAAATGTAACAGAAATTAAAAAATAATATTGACAAAGTATGACATCTAAAAATGATCAAAGCACATTTCAAACATGCTATCCTTCCGACTTCCGACACTTCCGGCAAAATGCATTGACTGTGGTGTTTTCTCTCTTCACATGGATATGAGGTTCCTTATTGATGCTTTGGCATGTGGGCACATTTATGCTGATGAGCATATGACTGGATCTTGGCAAACAAATCGCTATCCTCTTGGCTTACAAGTAGGCGGCTGACATTCTCTGTGAGCTGCTCTTTTTTATACCGAGCACCATCTATTAAGCCATGAAAAGCCATGATTAACATGAAATGACAACGCTGAATTTCACAGTTGCTTTACTGTGTGGGTTATTTTAGACCTTTTTAATATTCTATTTTGTGTATGGTTTGTAAATGTCTGAACCAAAACACCAAATATGTTTTTTCATGTGAATCTCAAACTATGCTAGATTGATGAAACGTTATCATAATTGTTTGTTTTATATACTGTGACGTTAATTACTTTTGATGTGATAGAAGAGAGAAACATTTCGCAGATACAGCTTTCTTCAAGCCTTGTTCCGAAAATGTACTGTAGGAAAGAAATCAAAGCACATCATCTGCAAATGATAATTTTTGGCAGGAGTTATTTTTTATTTTTCTCTGCAAATCAGAATACCGTATTTATAGAGAACTTTATTTCTTGTAGGGCCACATGTTTTTGTAATCTTCTAACATAGTGAAGAAAGCGTCACTGAGTGACAACTTGTTATTTACACAATTTTTAAACTGAAAACTGTTCAAGCAGCTCTGAAACCTGATTTTGTGTCGTATGGAGAGGCATGCTAATGTAGAGGTTTTGAGCTGGTGCCTGTCTTTCCCTTTTCCCAAAGGGAATGAAATTTGTCACATATTCAATCATAAATTGTAGGCTGGAGAGAGAACAAGTTGCAGGGTTTTGTGTGTTTGAAGTAGGTCAGTAATTCTGTGTGGGTAATGCGCTGGGACTCACCAGGTCTCAGCAGGGGGGCCTTTCCTCTCCCCTGTCGGTTCACGATGGAGGAGTAATTGAGCACTCGATGACTCTACTCGTGGAGACGATGGCGGCCATGGAAATGTCCCCTCACAGACCAATAAAAATGTCCTCTCCTTCTTGCTGTAATTGGACCAGGGACAGTGGGGTTGGGTTCTTGCCTGAGGAGACCACCTGTGGAAATGCTGTGCTCAATACATGGCTATTAAACTGATGAGACAGGGGACAGGCTGAGAGAAAAAGGCGTGACAAAGAGAGGGATGCTGATGAGAACGAGAACCTGCTGCCTTTCACCGTTTGAATTGAAAACTATTGCATGTAACACGTTGCTCCAGGCCTTCACGAATTGACAAGCTGTCTGTGTTGGTCAACACTCCCTCTCATCAGAAATGAATCAGGGAATCAGAGTCGGTCTTCTGTTTGGCTGCTTGACAAACTAAATTTGGAACATATTTACAAGAACTCATTGCATGTGGAAATAAGTTCCCTTGCAGCAAGTTGTATAATTTTTACTCTTTTTCCACACCTAGCTCCCACTGCTGATTTTTAAACCCGCATTAATTGATTTTCTGGCCACCTGGGGGCAACTGCAACAAGCTGTAAACAAGAGGTTGACACATTAACACCTCATAAAGGTGATATATAGCAAGTGGTTTCCTGTTTACACATCCAGCAGACTTGTTTCAGCCTTACCATCCATTTGAAGACTTTGTTTACTTTTGTTTTTGTCTGCTACAACTCCTGGAGGAAAATCTGTCTCCTAAGCTGTTAGAAACCTTCTCAGTCTAGTGTTTGGTGCTGGACAGGTAGTGCACAGTGAATCTGAGCTTTTGTGCTGAAAACATACAGCATGCTGTGTCTGGGAATTATACTGATGAGTGAAAGTACACCAACGACAGAAAGTTGTGGAAATAAGTTTTCAAGAGTAGAAATCTTCCATTACCACTAAAGGTTTTCAGAAAAAAGACAAGACTAGACTTGGCTTTCTAGGAAGTACTCAAAACTTCATGAAACAGGTTTTTTGGACACCTTTTTTTTGCTTTTCAGATTCTTGCCAAACAAACAAACCAAAAAAAAACTTTGTCTTTTTTTTGTTATTGACAGCCAAAATGAATTTGCCAAGGCCCACTTAGCACCTGCTGTTTTGACTGACTGCAAACTATGAAACACTGTCACATCAGAGCTGGATTGTAAGGCACCAAACCCTGGGCCCAAGATGAGCCTTAAGCTCTCAGTATTCAAATCCAAGTTGAGTCTGTGTCGCCACAGAAGAATCCTGGCTGAGTCCAAGTCAAGTTAGAGTTGGGTCCTCATTATTTCAGCAGTCATATTGAGAAGAAAAGCAACTGTTTGACTCTCAACTAGTCACTGCACAAACCTTGACTAACAGTATGGGACCTTTTGGAAATGAAGACATTTTATTTCATCAACATTTGACTCTGACAGATCCTGTCAGTGTGTTTGGAGATTTCATTGATCAAAAAGTTGCAGCGCTGTGTTTCCTCAGTTAATTTGCATCTCACCTCTCTAAATGTTGGAGGTGAGATTCTGATCACTCAAAAAAGTACCTGCAGCTTACCCTCTTTTATAGTTGTTGTGAATTTTTCAGTTTGTGTCAATTTTGGCGCCTCCTGCCTACAAAGCGATACCGCTCGTTGCTTGTTCTGTACATGTTAGAGCGGTGGGTTGAAAACAAAAAGCCTCACCGTGTTGTCTTCCAACAGTTAAGTGTCTTACTTACTGTGAGTAATTGCTTTTAAAAAAAGATTTTTAAAAAAGGCTGTTTCTTCAGCCTGCTGTCAATCATCCAGTCTGACACCAGCCTCCTCACAGCAGTTTCAGGCATTATAATGAAAACAGAAAAAAATATCAGCCTTTTTGCTGATGAACTTGTTTGCTTTTAAAGGTCACAAAATGGCATCAGAGTCAGTTTCAGTCTGTTTCTCAACCAGGTACAAACTCCTTATAGTGCCTTTAATCAAAACTTTAACTAAACGAGCATTTTGGACCTGACTAACGGTAATATTATCAACAATCTAAGCAAACTAACTGGATCTCAGTTTACTTACTTTTCTCGCTGTACTTTGGATGAATGTCTGTACTGTAAAATCGAATGTCTAACTGTAAAATCAATAATCAGGAGGACACCATCTTTTTCTTGAAACGGAATACATTATTAGGGTCAAATTGTTAAACTGGAGTCTTCAACCAAACAATAAGCTGTAACTTGCAATGCAGTGTTTTCACCAAACTAAGACATGAAGAAAATGCTATAAAGCTCCTGTAAGGACACACACACACACACACACACACACACACATATATATATATATATATATATATATATATATATGTGTGTGTGTGTATGTATATATACACATATATGTATACACATAAACATATATACACATATACATATACACATACATATATATACACACATATATACATACATACATACATATACATACATATATATGTATGTATATGTATGTATGTATATATGTGTGTATATATGTATGTGTATATGTATATGTATACATACATATACATATATATGTATGTATATGTATACATACATATACATATATATATGTATGTATGTATATATATGTGTATATATACATACATATACATACACACACACACACACATATATGAACACACACATATATGAACTATATATATATATATATATGTATAAATGTATATATATATATATATATATTCAACAATCAAGATCTTCAGCATCAGGACTGACTGTTTTTTATTGTGATTTTTGATGCCTAAAGTTGGTGTAAGGGGGCAGGTGTCAGCTGAGCAGCAAAACAAACAGCCCTGTTTTTACTGTTTCCGCTATTTTTACAGTTCCTTCATTACTTATTCATATTAAATGATACATTTGATTTATAAAAGTCAGCAGATGAGATTTCTTATCAGAGGACCCTTCTTAAGCACATAAAGCACTGGACTAGCAAAGACTGTTTTGTCCAAAGTTGACACAAACTGAAAGTTCCTCACAGGGGCTTTAAAGTACTGCTGAGTTGTGTGCTCGTTATTGGGGGTTAACAAACGTTAAAGATGACACTGAATCTCTCAGTTTATCGTGTTGTCATAGAGACAATTTGTCTCAATACATACAGTATAGTTTTTATCTGTTCTCCATTAGATTTTTTTGATCTGGAACTTTCATTTCGAAGTATGTTGCTTTTCTTCAGGGCAAGTAAAATGTTTTCTCAACTGATTTTTACACCTTCATCTGGGCGCAGTGTAACAGTCGAACAAGTTTGATCCTGAGCTGACCTGTAGAAAAGGGTACGATCCCTTTCAGCAAGACTCACGCCTCACTCAGGTCATCTCAAAAACACACAGATCGCAGACAGATTCAATTCCCAGCTGATAGACTCAGAAGGTGTGCAGAAGAATAGATTGAGACAAAAGTAAGGGAGAGAGAGAAAGAGAGAGAGAGAGAGAAACAAGCGATAGAAGGTAGAAAGAAAGGTGGTAGAGAGAGTGAAACAGGTAAAAGGCATTCACTCTCAAGCCCCATTCAAACATTCATCTGGCTTCTCTCTCCGACTGCATTCATGCTGCACAGCCAATTCCAGGGCGATAAGCCAGCTGTGTGCTGCTCAAGGTAAGGGAGTGAATAGAGCAGTACAATCTCTGGCTGATGCTGAGGAGGGACGGAGCCTACACGCTGACCTTCCTTATGCCAGCTTTACTTCAGTGGAGGAGGAGGGTTTCATAAAGGGATTATTCTGCTCAGCCACCTTTGACCTGTCTGGCTGCCTTCCATAACTGCTCAAGCTGCCTGTCCATCACTCAAAGAGAAGCAGAGAGCAGGAGGGAGATAAGAGAGGAGATGGTTTCAACCTGTGGGAAGGGATTAAAACCGCTGTTGCTTCACTGTGAAAAGATGGCATGAAATACAGGCGGAAAAACCAACAACTGAGTTTTCAGCCTGACTCAGCAGGTCAGTGTAATGTGAAGAAACCAGAATGACCTTTTTCATCAGCCGTGAGACAAGGGTGCTCAACATTTTCCCTCTGCTGACAATTATGATCTGTCCAAGGGGGAGATGACGCCCTGAGGAAAAAATCATCGGCTGCTGAATGCCAAACATCCTGTGTTTCCACCCACAAATGATTACATTTTCCAGATCGGAAAAGGACTTCTTAATGTCTATAGTGAGAGGTCCTGAGGATGAGTCAGCCATACTTGAGAGCAGAATTATAGAGCACACGTGTTGGAGTGACTCACCCAATCGAGGAAACAATGGCTGCAATGTTATCCTGAGTTCCCAATATAGCCCTGAGAGTTTGAAATATATTTTGCATGCCTGTCATCATATTATCCTCAGTGTGCTGAGACACATTATTGTGCGATGTATCAAAGTGTGTGTTTTGAGGGTTGTGAGTAAGGTGCGTTTGTTGTCCTGAATGCTTTGAGCTCTTAGGGACCATAGCTGACCATGACAGACAGTTGATGTTTTGGACAACGATAAGCCAGTGAGCTGTAACATCTCACTCCAGCAAAAAACAAAATCTCCCCCAAGTCTCAAAGGAAAGCGCGGAAAAGGAGGCATCCAATTCCACCTTCTCTTCAGCAACCGTCCGCCAGGCGGGAATGAAAGAAGGATGAGAGGGCGAGGAAGCAAAGGAGATTGAGAAACACAGAGAAGAGGGTAAAGAGGGAGGCTGAGAAAAAAGGGCAGAAAGTGAAAAACAAATGCATGAAACAAGCAGGAAGCAGAAAGAGAAAGGTGGCGAGAGCAGTGAGGACTTTCCCCTCTCTTCTCAGTGCTCCTCCTTCCCCCCTCTGGCAGTGTGCTGGTTATTTACTGCAGCCTCTTCCTCTCCCGGTGGAACGAGAGGGAAATGGGCTCTTAACCGGGTTTCCATACATCACCCCCTGACACTGATGCCTGTAGTTGTGGGATGCAAACATCTGATGATTCTTTTTAAAATCAATTATTCAGAGAGTATCTAAAGTGGCTACGCAATTCATCACAGCTAATTGCAGTGCATCACCCCTGTCATTTATCATGTCAGACAGAGCTTGTTCTGTTTCAAGTTTTGTTTTAAGTGGTGGAGGAAAGGTAGAAAATGTTCCTGACAGTGGCAGCTGTGAAATGGTTGAAATTCTGTTGAGCCGCTTACCTGCCATCAGTATCAGCTCGATAAACCAGAAAAACCCATACCTGACATTTATAGGTAATTTAATGACAACCACAGTCATTGGTTTTATGTTGTTTTTAGCGCACTAGCAGTACAACTAAAATAAATCAAACCTTAAGAAACCAAATGAAAATCAACTAAACTGGAAGTAGCTGGTATGACTTGGCATGTTCAGTGTGGCTGTCATGATAAGTTGAAACCTGGAGGAAAAAACAAGAAATCGAGAAACTTTTCCTCTTGATTTTAGTCTACTAAACCATAAGAAAATCAAATTATACCTAATCTTTCAAGTTTTGAAGGACTTCGTCACAGAGTTAGCCACAGGTAAAGTTAGGTTGTCATCCAGTACCCAATATAAAAATGGTTCTATGTATGGCACTGAACCATTTTCTTTCCCATTATCTCTGTTGAGTCTATTTATCCTGGTACTAACAGGTGAGCTGGAACTTACAAATAAATCAAGACAGATTTGTGAAAACCCAAAGTAGAGCAAAAATCTGAAACACTCTTCCACAAAGAACAACAAAACCTTTATTAAACTTGACATCAGAAGAGCTAACGTGGATGTCTAAAGCCTTATCCAAACAAGTGCACTTAGCAGCAATCCAGATAGTTTAATGGTCAAAGACACTGTTGAAAAAAACATTGGAAGTGGTCTCCAACTAAAGTAGCTATTGCAGGGAGGAACCTACACAGTATCCAAGTGTAGAAGAAGAATTAGACCATGGTTCTTTCCTGTGGTGAGGTTTGGAGCTAAAAGCATTTGGTTCTTTTTTTGTCCTTTGCTTTGAGTACTGTTGTTTCTTTTTTCATTCTATGTTGCTGTTGACTGTGTATTCCTTTATATGTACAGATTTTCTAAAATGTGGCTTTCTCACTTTGGCTTCTTGAATTTGAGAGTTACTTGGAATCCATGCACTGCTCTCACAGGTGTGGATACCTAATACTAAAAACTTTCAAGCCAGTCGATCCTGTATGTTAGATCAGTGGCTTTTGTTCTGTATATATGGATTCTGTGTATTTAGAATATGCAGAATTTAGATGTTGCACTTTAACCCATTATTCGATAACCTTTTATTTCAAAAAGCAACTGTGAGTTGCATAACTGATCTCCAAGTACTTAACCAAAATAATTATGATAGCCATTGAGCAATATTGTGTAGTATAGATATATCCCAGATTTAGACTTGGTCTTAACTTGGTTCTAAATTTAGACATCTAAAACAAACGTTAATTTTTAGACCTGTGGTAGCCTGATTTTAGACCAGTCGTCTAGGCTACATTTAGACGTCTATTAGACCTCTTTTAGACCAAAAAATGCTCAGTGGGAGGATGGCTGAACCTGTGAAGAGTCAAAAGTTTGGCTGAATTCAACTAAAGCAAAAGAGGAAGATGGCAATTTATGTTACAAAGGAATTTCTTGCAAGTGAACAAGCGTGACTGTCACAACCAAGCGCATCATCATGTGGCATCAAATCAAACTAAAATGCAGAACTTTTAGTTGCTTTGAGTTTCAGAAACTCGAACACAATGATGTGTTCAAGGTCGGCCAGTAAAATGACCATTTAGCAAATGTAAATAATAAATGATCAATAACCAGTCTCTTTAAAAGTGCAGTCTTTGTATTTTTGTCCAGTCTCTGTAACTGATAATCGCTGTGATAATTAAGGAGGCCTGATAACGGTATCAGTATTAAAAAAATTAACAATCCCTTTTGCGTAGATAGGAGATGGAAGAAAGGAAAATCTACAGAAAGCTATCCCTCCAAGTCCTGCCTTCCTTTGTCTTGAAATTACACCATCAGTATCTCCCAGCTTTGTCCTTATGTCTTGTATTTCAGGTATTACACAGCGCAAATTGTTGAGACACATGATGAAGTTCCTCCCTATCTGAAGAAAAGCACCTGCTGCCCACAGGGTGGATTAAGTTGTCTTCCTTTGCAGAAAAAATATTTAAATATCCTTTCACTGTCTGCCCCCCAGCAAGAGCTTTCACAGTCTGATTGCTTTTATATGAGGCTAATGAAATATGATTGCATTATGAGGCGATTCAATAAATGCATTAACCTTTACAAATCAAAACATGCCATCTCCTCCTAGCTGTTGTTGTTTGCTTAAAAAGGTTGGACAAAACAAAAGCATAATTATCCTCACACATTTCCACTACTCAGTCTATTGTTTGTAAATACCTGTTGACCTGTTGCTCCTCTCTTTAATGGAAATAATAGAATTTTATGTGAAATTTTCTATTTATTTCCCCAGCATTTGAAGGAAAACAGACGTGTTATCAATTTGAAATGCCATGACTCTCAAATGCTCTACAAAAGCTTCCTAGAAAAGCACTTTTCTACTCAGATTTTTATGTACATGACCTTTACTGCATTCATTATTTCATTCTTGTATGATATTCATGTCAATTTTTCAGGGCAGATTGAGATAGACCTTGCGGAAAAGCAGCACACAGGCCCAAATATGTAAAAGGCCATAAGGGGAGGAAACCTCGAGTAAGTGCGAGGTGAATGATGGCAGGATGATCGGGGGGAACGAGATGAAGACAGCAGCAAAAAAACAGGGCAGCACGAGCGGAGGGAGGGAGAGGTCTGATTGACAATTTGCATCCTCTTCAGAGGGTATCAGGGGACATGATTGAATCCAGTCAGGCTGAACCCATTAGGGGAGCAATGCTGTCAGAGGCCGAGCAGAAAGCCATCCACCAGCACCCGGTCCCTGCTCTTCTCTGGTCTCCATTTATATTCATGCCGGGGTTGAGTTATTGGGGAAGTAGAGTGAGGGAGAAAGTAAAAAAAGGGAACTCAAGCCGGCCTCGTCAAGCCATCCATTTGCTACTTTGCGAGCTGTAAAGTTCTTACTTGCTGCTGATGATTGCTCACTTAACCTGGGCAAGAGTGATCCCATTTGCATGTGATTTTTCATGAGTCAATATGTCCATAAATTAGTTTCAGATTGTAGACATGTAATGTATCAAACCACTTAAAAGCACAGGGAAAAACCATTTCAAAAGCCCTGGAGTGGATGCACGTGATATTTGCATTTTAAGCAGTTTAACATGTCTCCTCTCATTAGTCCACCTTGACAATGTTTCCATAACTGAAACCTATCTGGTGCATTTTCTTGGGAGATAGCCGCTTGGCATCCCTTGGCAGAGCAGAGGCAATCATTTTCCTGAAGGTTTCTCTTTGTATTCCTCAGTAGATCCCTGGGCGTGATGAGAAAAGCGGAGATATAACACACTTGAGGGCGTGATAAGCCGCAGCGGCCGAGGGCTTCTGGGAACACTTCCTGACAGCCATCCCAGCCCTCGTGTCTCCATTCACCTCAGCAAGACGCCTGATCCAGAGCTGCCTGAGAGACTGACTAGGTGACAAAAGAGGTGGAGTTCTGTGGAGAGTATTCCACATGTCGCAATTTATCTCACAAACACAGCACATACGCCCAAAGCTACGGTATTGCAGCAGCTTTGGTTTATTCCGTACCAGCCAGCTGTCAAAGCAGGGAGGGTGGAACCACGCCGACAAAATTCTCTTTCTTCTCTAGAGTGAAAATCGAGAGTAAGAAGGAAAGATTTTCATCCTTTGTATGTGAAAAGCTCAGATTGGACCTTTTGTCTGATTCACCAGCTGTGTGTAACTCAGCAGTGAGTCTCAGAAAAAGGCACACTGGCATTTGGAAGCAGTTTTAGTCTTATTTTAGTTTGTATTATTGAAGTACACTCCATAGGACGCCAAATCGCCTATTAGGCTGTTTTCATAGAGGCCGTCATGGCGCCACTAATCCAGTTTCTGAATTTCTTCTCCCTTCTTTGATGTAATTACAAAAACACAAATTTAATAAGACTGTTTGGAGCATTTTGAAAATGAAGCTTAGGCTGAAATCATATTCAAAGTCATAGCCATAGAGGTCATTTTAAGGAAGGGTAATTAGATGGGAGCTTCTGCTCTTGGGACTTGTGCGGCGTATAGGCAGAGTCATTTTTGTAGACACAGGTAGAAATACATCTGTTCCTAATGCGACTGACTGTTTTTACCTCCCTCCCTCTCTCTCTCTCTCTCTCTGCATCTGTCTCTTATTCTCTCTCTCTTCCCTCCTCTCCTGCGTCTCTGAGGTTTAAAATAGTCACGGAGGGATCATGTTCAAGTTATGAATGTCCCAATTAGCCGGCAATGGAGAGAGAGGGTCTCGAAAGTGGTACTCAAGTGACTGGTGCAAAAACATTGCTGGGCTATAGTTTTTATTTAGGCAGGCTTAATGCAGGCTATTGACTTCTCAATGAGGACCAGGATTAGGTCAAATATACTTCACTCACTAATGCATGCCTAATGGTTCTGCTATAGATTAGCCATAAAAGTGGATGATCATAAATATTGCTGGATTGTAAAACATTTATGAGTGAAATCCAATGCCCGGCTTCCAAAATTGTGAGTCTTTAAGTGGTGACTCTGAGAGCAGCGATATGCTGCTGCATGTTTAAAGGTAGTGGAAAATATTTGGACTCAGCAGAGCAACTTCGATTCAAGCATCATTCAATATCACTCAACAAGATGTGTTTTTGTTTTGTCTGCTCTATTCTGTCGCATTTTCACCAGCTGGCGCAGCCAAAGCAGAATCATGATAAATGAGGAACGGGTCATGTTCAGGTTTCCAGAGCTGACATGTTCCTGCTTTATTGCCATGGCTACTTCTGTCTCTGTGACACATCTGCTGACAAGCGCCTGCTTCACCTGTCACAAGCTCATCTGTCACCTTTGACCCCTGGCAGAGATTCAAGCAAGGGGATGCTGAGCTCAATCTCCCAGACAGTCACAGCCGCACAACACTGTCAGAGCTGTGTGATACACTTTCAGATTGAAAGGAGGAGTGAAAATTACAGCACGTGGAGAAGTAGCAGTCAGCAAGAAGTCCCTTCCCCTCGTGGTTTAACAGAAGTTGCTGCTGTTGGGACTGAAGGAAAAGAATCTGTAACCACTCTCAAGCTTCAGTTGCTTTTACACCTAACCTGTCAACCCTGAGGAAAAACTAGCTCTGATGTGTGCAGAAAAAGTGCAATTCAGTACATATCTACAAATCTTCAAAGTCTATTGAAAACCAAAACATTGTTGTAAAGGCCCAGATCAGGAGCAGTATATGCAACAGTTCAGTTGCCATTAAACTAACTCTCAAATCATTTGTTAAAGCGTTGTTGGGCAGGTCAATGAAGACAAGTGCATGGTTACTATAGTTAATACTATCAAAAGTAACTAAATACCTGATTGAGTTACTGCATTATAAAAGCAGTTACTTGGGAAAGTAGCTTTTAGCTTCAATAACCCTAGTAAGTACCCTACCGCTCATCTTATTTTGCTGGTTTGTTCTCTGACTTCTTTAAAGCCAAGCATGTCTAAAACAAAAACCTTGCAACTGGTATGTTTAGTCCTATCTACCTTACTGATTATGAGGTTGGCTGTGATTTAAAATTAAGCCTCTGCTGAGCTAACTTCAGCTGCACCAAGGTCACTAATATCTGATCGTAGCGACAAGAACTCTCAAATTTGTGTAACTTGCCAACTTTTTTCAAACATATCTACATTTAACATTTTAGTTTAACGACTAACGGATCATTCGAACAAGAACAATAAAGAAAGTTGCGCACTCTTATCACCTCTGCTGTTTTATTTCCTCACTGTTTCAGATACTGTACCCTGTAACAAACTTTGCAACAACATACACAAAATTCAACATCACTGAGCAATGCAGTAATCTGTAATTAATTAGAATATATTTGTTTTAATTTATTGAGATACACCTGTACTTTGATACAAATGAAAAGATTCATATCGCAGCCTAATGTTGTTCTGATACAGTAACATTATCAGCCTTTTGTCAGTTGCTTACCTAATCCTAGTAGCTTTGCTGCCTCCCCCCTCTGCTCCTTCACTTGCCTGACATGCTGGGGGGTTCAAGTACTGCTGTGTATTGAAGCAGCTGTCTCTTTAAAAGTTCCCTCCTTCCTCAAAAGGCAGATGGCGATCCCCAGCACCTAGGCAACCAGCGTCCAATCAAAGTGCGCACTGAGCGCTCCCACAAGTTTGATTTGTTTGTTTGCAGAAGCAAATACGACACACTCGCAAGCAGCATGGTTCTGTTGGATTACTACGGTTACGATGCATAGTGCAGACTGACATGCTGGGGGGTTCAAGTACTGCTGTGTACCGGCTGTAAAGTGCTGTTTATGTCTTCCCGGTACGACGTACCGCTATGTACCGACTTACTGTCACTCCTGATGTTAAAGGAATATGAATTTGATTTCTTGGCAACAGACTAGTTTGATTTTGTTAACTCTGATCCTAATAGTTATCTCTGTCTTTGAAAGAAGAGATGACAATACCCTGATACACACTACTCTGACTGAGTACCCCTTTATGGAGCTGCCTTTGGAAGTTTTGCTGTCTTTATTCATACAAATTGCAAGCCTGGAGATTCTGGACCAGATCTGAAGTTTTCTGGTTCATTAAATTCAGTCCTATTTGGAAGAAAACTGTCCATGTAAAGAGAATATAGGCAGTATGTATTTCCTTACAAAGTAGCTGCAGTCATGTTAAGGCTGTGAAGCTGAGATTGAAGGGATAGTTTGCGTGAGTAAGTGTTATTTTGTGAGGTATTTGACAAAGGTAGATGTATTGCCCACAGAGGATGCTGGTCAGCTCGGCCTCTTGGTTCAGGAACTGGTCAGAGGAGCAAAGCTATCAACCCCTACAGAGAGGGTCAGCTCTTGTAATTTCAGGAGATTACAACCTAAACACGAATGAGGTTGCGAGTGTTTGCTCTACCCAGAAGTTTTCAGTGCTTTACTTTGTCATTGCTCTTGGCAAAGTGAAGCTTTTAGAACCAGTGGGTGACTATGTCCATGGTGAAGCACAGATGTGTCCTTGCATCTGCAGCACATTCGTCAGCTGTTTGTGTTTTTGGACTCAAAAGACAAAACAATATGACCTAATTAAAAAAGAGGGATTCTGACAGCAATGATGACATGATGTTTACTCTGGACACAAGAGGACACCTCTTTGGGTGGTTTACAGAGGAAGACTGAGACCTAATGGACTAAGAGAAAGAGGCTTTCTTTGTGTGACAACATGTGCTTGTTGGCCTTCATCGTCATGAGTGGGACTTTGTAACAATACTTAGGGTTTAGGATTTCTATACACTACAGACATCACTGTGTCTTCTGATTAATGTGTTATATTTGTTTCCTAAAATTATCTGAGTGTGAAATTCACAAATATCATCCTGTACTGGGCTAAAGCTAAGTTGGCTGGTACATCACAGACCTGATTAGCTGATCAATGCGCTGCAAGCACAGGGGCATAAGAACATGAGTAGTGCAAAGTCAAATTGGCTTTTTGGTAAGTTATATGTTTAACATCAATGCTTGGGTGAGAGATTCTGAAAATGAGTGAAATTACATGATGGTTCCAGCAGATGACTGTTTGACATAAATCTGGTTCTGCCAGAGGTTTTTAAAAGCCAGGTTTGTCCACCATGACTCCCTAAATCTTTAGAGTGCTCTGTTCATGGATAATCAAGATTGGATGAGGCTGAATGATTAAATAGGATGACACTGAATCTTATCCTTTTGTGTATGCTTGGTAATTGTTCATATTTAAACAAGTGTTGTTGAGAATTGATCATTTTGGAAAGTACATTTGTGGTGAATTGATTGATTGATTTATCATGACATGGGACGTTCACATCACAGTCATACACTGATGTCAGAGGTTCCCATATGAAGTTCCCAACAGTATTAATTTTTTCTATTCCCACACCACTAACGAAACAACTGAGGGCAGTTTTAGGGTTAAGTGTCTTGCCCAAGGAAGCTTAGGCATATGGACAGCGAGACCAGGGATCAAACCCCCAGACGTCTGTGGCGACTTGACTGACAGTCAGGCATGTGGCAGCTGTTTTCCAGCAGACTGAAAGCCCACTCCAACGCCACTTCCCTGCCTGTTTCTTTATGAATCAAAAGTTAGCTTGAGTCAGAAATTTCAGATTGCTTTCATCAGAACTTTGTCCACTTTTTAACAGTCTCTATTGTTTTCCAAACTAAATTCTTATGCTGTGTTACCTCAGAAGTCAGATGTCAGAGCTGGGAATGACGTTACACCCGAGTTGACGGCGTTCCAGTTAACAAGTTGAAAAGCAAGATGGATGCCTACAGTTAGCTGTTGTTAGCTGTTAGCTTACAATTGTTAGCTGTCATTGGCCATTGTCAGTCGTTGTTAGTGGTTGTCAGCTGTTGTTAGCCATTGTCAGCTGTTGTTAGTTGTTGTTAGCTATACCAGTTGTAAACAATGAATGACACAGTATTTTACTCTTACAAACACCATAGCATGGCGTTCACAGTTAGACGTTGGGCAGTACAACATACACCATTTATTTAATTTTACCAAAACAAAGCAGAAGTGCTCATAAGTAATACATTACGAGAGCTTTGGTGTTACTCCTTGCTGTTAATGTACTGCGCTGCTATCTTGAATTATGGCGTTGTTGTCAAGCCGGGGTTGGTGAGGATTGTCCAACTTTCCGAGGTGGAAATCCGACTTCAGGGGGCGTTCCACATGAATTTCCGACTTGGAGATTGGAAATCCCAACTTTCGAGTACAACTGGAATGCAGCATTACTACTCAAGTCACCAGTTGAATTATAAGCTGTGGCAATGTAGAGAAACATCACTGTCCTGTTTTTACACTTTAAGACCCTAAAAATTCATCATCATCATCATCAACCATAATCTGGGGTTATGAGATTAGGGCTTTGATGATGGCGAAATAAACTCCATGCATGCCATTCCGGAGGAAATGCTGTATTTGCAGGTGATTTTTTAAAACAATTGCCAACACTGTCCACAAAAGGCAGTTGGCATAAAGTCAAGGCTCTTCTTCCTTTTGTGAGTTTTCTGAACAAAAACTAAACCAGAAAAAATAGAGTTCTTTTTTTCTCCTTTTGGTCCATGCAGACCAGATGAAGTAAAAATTAATCCTGTAAAAATCTGCTTTTTCATCTATTCTCTGCTCGCATCTTGTGCAACAACTGGTAAGATAAGATGCTGCAGCTGTCTATGTATCATCAGAGAATTAGACACATTTATTGCACATTTTCTTTTTTTATTGAGCTATGAATCAGTTTCTGACTTGCATTAAGCACATTCTGCAATCTACATCAATCTTTACTCTCACTCTTCTGCTGCTGATCTCATCTCTCTCTCTCACTCGTCCTCTGCATTATCTCTGCACAAGATGAATGCATCTCCACCTTTTTTCTCTTTCATTCTCCCAATCTCTGATTTTCACACAAGCACCCGTACACATGCCAAAGTTGAAACAAACCATTTATTTGAACAAAGTGCTGCTCTTTTGTTCCCTGCCGAGACTGGGGTCAGGAGGAGGTTGGCAGCAGATAGTGTGTGTCCAATGGATCGCTGCTCAGGAGTCAATTAACTGAGGTCTGTGCAAATGAACAGAACAAGGGTGCAATCAGCTCCAATCTCCCGCTAAGTCCTACCTCTCGTCTAATTTATTAAAGCATGCTGCTAAATTGACTGCTTTGGACTGTAATGGGATGAATCTCAAGAGGTGGGGTTTAGAGAAACAAGGTCCGGCAGATAATACCAGTAAGAAAGATGTGTGGAAAAGAACCAGAGGCATTGACTACACCAGCCTAATGAAATGAGTTTCTGGGCTCGGTCTGGTCGAATAACCTTCACTACATCACATCAGCATTGGCATCATGAGACAGGACATGGTGCATTACAAGCGTTTTCCATTAATTACCTTCCAGTGGTCCCAAACACACCTTTAGTCGCTCTGCACTGCCGCCCCAAACACTAATCCAAGAAATCCATGCTGACAGTCCTCCCAGGGCTGTCCTCTACCCTTAACAGTCATTTCCCTTCCCATTTTATGTGTAGAAATTCACCACTGACACCTCAGGTCAAAGATGATTTCCCAAGTGTGAGTCAGTTGGCCCTCCCCCACGAGGGCAGATCGATGAGTTCACTGAAACACCATGAAAACAGGTGATGAAACCTGTTTACTGTTCCTTACCTGCAGTTTACCACCCCACTCACACCTCTTTCTTCCTATACATTTATGCATTACTAACTAACTCCTCTGTATGTACAGTGAAATGCCTCTGAGCAAGGCTGAATATCGTCTGCTGTATATTCATGAGATCTGAATAATGAGTTCAGATATTCAGCATTGTGATGCACTTCAGCACAAGTGATTTAATTCTGTGTCCACTCTTTCTTTGCACAAATGATCTGGACTGGCAGGATATTATAAAAATACCTCTTCCAACAAGAATTCATCATATTTAGTAATGTGAGGGTCAGTTTATGGTTTAGGAAAAAAATAAGCAGGATTGAAACCTCTTCATAGCAGACACTTTGCTGTTCTTCACTCTTCTTTCTTCACACTCCACCAATATGTCCCTCACGTGTCGAGTATTACAGTAACTCCTCCCAGACATGATTTAAGTGAGAGATTAGAGGAAGAGGTGTAAGACTGAAAGAGGTGAAATTGGCAAATGATAATCTTT